TTTTTTTTTTTTTTTTTTTTATAAAAATTTTCTAAATTTTGGAACAATATGGTCTGATACATTTATACATTTAGAGTACATTTATATACATGTTTAAGCCCAAATGATTTGACATCTAAATATGACTTCCCTACGACCTTAAATCTCCAAATAGCTCTACATCAAATAATTCCTTCTTATTAAATCTCAGCTCTTTGTTCTGAATTAGGGAAAAGAAATAAGTTTCTCTGGGACTCTATAGAGTCCAATGTTATGGATAATAGTGAAAGTTCTCTTTTTTCTTTTTTCATTTATTGCTCCGAATGTTTTCTTTTTTGAGAGAAGTGCTGATCATCACTATATGAGGTTAAATTGAGAGGATAAAACATACTGAGGTCCTGTGTACATTTCCTAAATAATAAAAAAGTAAAGTGGAAGTAATCATGAAGCAACAACAAACCCACCTTTGTTACTGAAGTCGTCTATGAGGACGATCTCAGCCAGATATCTCCTGGGCGTCCTCTTGATGACGCTGTGCACGGTCCTCATCAGCGTGGACCAGCCCTCGTTATGGAACACTATGATGACGCTGGAGGTCAGCAGCCGGTCGTCATAGTGCCAGTATTTACACCTGGAGAGGAGAAGCCCATCAAACACAGTCAGACCAAGTCAGGAGGAAGAGCTGCAGGCTGATCGCGCAGACGTCCTTAAAGGAATATCAACTACCTAACTTGGTCCACTATGGACGCCTGAACACAACAATAGTTTAAGATAAATGTTGGAGCAGGAACAGATCTGGATCTACCTGTAAGCACCACTAGGAGGCGCTATGGGAGAGTCAGAAAACTGGGGGGTAGAAATCTGCACAAATTAAAAAAGAATTTTCCTCCCATTTGCTATGAAAAAATAACTTTTTACAATATATTTTATAGAGAAGACAAACAGGATTTGGGTTTTTCCTCTCTGATGATGTAATCAATAATTATCCCACCAAGGCTGGTAGATCGATCTGCTTCTCCTGTTTCTAAGAACGACCTGTAAGAGTCTGGCTTTCTACTTTAAAAATGCTCAAAATAAAACTTAAAACACGTCTGCATGTGATCAGTGACATGATGATGGCTGACATTAAGCCCCGCCCACCCTGCACAGAGAGATTTGATTTATTTTGTCTTGTTCCGATCTTTAAGGGTTTGTTTTAGAGCTTCAATTAACAATTACTCAGCAAATCGTTTAATCTGTTGATTATATTTTCAATTAATCGATTAATAATCTGATAGTAGAAGGTTCCTAAAAGAAGAGTTATAGGAAATTAAACCAGGTGAAGCTAAATCTGTTCCAGGTGAGGAGCTCTGGATAGAACAGATTTGATTGACAGATGACCGTTGATATATGATTGGCTGAATTTAGGTGTTCAGGCTGATGTAGAACTAACTGGCCTGCAGAAGATAACGAAAAAAAAACGCAACAGGTTTTAGGACAGGATTTTATTTTTAAATATACATTTTCTAAATTTTGGGAAAATATGGTCTGATAAAGATTAGATTTATATACATGTTCAAGCCAGAATGATTTGACATTTAAATATGACCTCCCTACGACTTTAATAAATCATAATATATTCAATCATTGTTATTTTCTGTAATTACTTGTGCTGCCTCTATGCCACTAAATGTACTTTTCTTTTCCATTTTTTCTTATGATCCCTTTGAATTGTCTTTGCACTGAAATGTGCTACAGAAATAACCCTGCCTATTTTAAAGTTAACACTAAGTTTTTCTTTTTAATTAATTAGCAATAATCTAAGAAAAAAAATCTTCATAAAAAAGTGATTGTGTATTGGACGGAACTCAATGGGAAAGGAAAGGATTCTGATTTCGACCGTTGCGTATATTAGCTACGACATATGAATCAAGATGCTATGACCAAAAAATTTGATTGACAGATGACCGTTGATATATGATGAATTTAGGTGTTCAGGCTGACGTAGAACTAACTGGCCTGCAGAAGATAACGGGAACCCCCCCCCCACAGATTTTAAGACTGAATTTTTCTTTTAAATAGAAATGTTCTAACTTTTGCCACAATATCTTCTGATAAAGAGTACATTTATATACATGTTAAAGCCAGAATTATTTGACATTTAAATAGGATTTCCCTCAGACTTTAACAGAGGTGTGAGGAAATGTGATATTAAGGACGCAGCAGGGTGTTCCCAGAAACATTTAAAAACTAAACCTCACAAAATCCAAAGGATGGAAAAGGTGTGACTCTCTTTGTTCAGTAAATCTCTTCTACTCAACCATGAATAACACTGTTTGTGACGCCACTACAGATATTTCTGAGTTGACCCATGGCATAGGCGAGGGCTGGAATTTGAAGCATTCTGTACTCATTTATTCTTTAAATTAGTCCTTCATTTGAGGACAAAAACCTTTCAGAAAATTATGACGACAAAGATTAAACGATTCAAGAATTACAGGAACTTCAGGTACGTCAGCAGAGCCCTGCAGTCACTGATGCTTCACTTTCAGTTGGATCTGAGACACACCTTTGTTGGCGTGGAGCCGACTCCTGCCTGTAGGCAGTTTTTCCACCATTGCTCCAGCAGTTTACGCCTACCAAGCTGTGGATGAACCATATTAACCTGTAGACGACTGTATCGCTCGTCACTGATGCTGTTTTTGACCTAACCAACTTGGTCCACCTGCCTCAGACCCAGAAGGTGAAACATGATGGTTCTGCTGGGGAACACCGAGGGTTATATGTTATAAAAAAAAAAAATAAAAAAAAACAGGCTTTGAGCTGCATCTCCAAAGAAACAGCACAGCAGGAGGATTGGGTATTTTACGCAGATTCCTAACCTGATTTAGTCTCCAACTGAAGCCATTTAATCTCCTTTAATCTCTGTCTCCTTTCCATTTCATACCCATGTTACTAACCATCTAATGTTTGCTTTTTCACTTTAATTTGAAGATGATTCATAAACACCTTTACTCCTTTAATGTTGTATTTTAAGTTTTTATCTACTTCCTGTTTCCTTTCTTTGCATTTCTTGCATTGAAGAAATTAGCTAAATATAATTTAGCATATATCCTACTTAGCTAGCTAAAGGGCTTATTACGGTTGAGGTACGTAAATTGAGCCACCACCTAACCGCGTCTGCAGCATTTATACGTATTTATGTTCAGCACAAGCAGCAAGCTGACAGCACCACACTACAGGAGGAAGTAGAAAAAACAGCCTGTTACATTAACAAAGCCTCTTTGTGCTGTTCAAGACCAACAGTCATTGCTTTCCTGGAGTTTTTCCAATATCTATGATATTTATGGGCTAAAATCACAGGATGTCTTCAGATGTTTACATTTGCGAACCTTCGCCAGCAGGAGCTGCTGCTCGCTCACCATGTTTCCTGGAAGCCCAAAATGACGCAATTTTAATTAAACCCGGAGAAACAAAAACTTTCCCACTTGTTTAGAACTGGATACAACAGACTGAGAGATGTTTTTTTTTTTTTATCTTAAAGGCACAGTGTGCAACTTTTGGCCACTAGGGGTGCTAGACCTGTAACTGCCTGTTTTTTCCTTCAACTAAACAGTGAAAATAATAAAGATTTACGGCTTTATACCAGGAGCAAAGGGTTAACTTACCAGTCTAATAATAAAGTTGCCTACAGCCTCCTCTGTTCCTTCTGTCTTGCTCTGACTTCCTCTGAGCTCAAGGAGAGCATGCACTATATTATTAATAAATTAATAGTAGCAAAACATGTGGAAATTAATGCTTAATTTAATATGACATATTTAAAAAATCCCCATCAGCATCCAGCATATGTGGGTTTCTGCCCAAATATTTTCTTTTTGTTGTGGATCTTTGTAACAGATATCTAAGATTATAAAAAACTGTTTTGTTTGTTCTCTACCTCCAAACTCAGCATCTCTGCATCCATTCCAGCAATAAGAGGTTTGTTTAGAAGTTGTGAGAGGCGCTCTTGGAAGTTTTGACTCGATTTGCTGAAACTTTTAAGCTTCTCAGTATAAAATAAATATTTTGATGAAGATGAGAAATCTGCTTCCTTGTTTGTAGAAATACCAATAGTTTGCATCCAATCATTTATTTAAACGCAATTAGTTTTAGGGAATATTTAAGAATTAAGCTCTAATTTGTAGTTACCGATCTGTAGTTACTATATTTTTATTCGACAAACCGGATCTTCTTCATGTTCTTTTTCCTGTTATGTGCAATTGCAATTGCAGATCTTGACCTGGCCGGACCGGAGCGCTAAAAATTGCTCCGTATTTTGACGGTGACGTCCTGAGGAGTAGCGGTGGATGTGGGGGGGTCAGTGGGTCGCTCTGTCACTAAAGGCATGTTTTAGAGTCTCTATACTCCAGTTAACGACTAATCAATTACTACATTTGTTGACGGTTATTTCAATAATCGATTAATCTGATTAATTGTGTCAGGCCTAAAGGGTTTTATCTGAATAACTAAAATAATTCTGCTCACCTCCTTGCTGGTAGGTCATTCTCACTGACTGGTTTATTTATATTGGACTAAGCCTCAGTTATAGAAGTGGTTTTAGTTTCAGACCTTTGACCTAAACACCAGCAGATAGCAACAGATAAACAGCTTAAAGGTTGCTATCTGCATGTGCATGAAATAACAGGATAGGAAGGACATAAACAAGGATGGAAAACCTAAAGCAGGATCCTCACACCTCTACAGATCCCAGGAGATGAAAGTGTAAACCGTGTGGAGGTGAGTGTGACGCAGTACTCACTCTTCATGGCGTAAATCATTGATGGTTCTGTCCAGGGAGATCATGTCACTGGCCACCATGTTGAAACCAAACTCCTTAATGGAAGCCTGGACCGAGTCTTTGTACTCCGGACCCAAAACGAAGGGCTTGGCTCCCTCCCCTGGACCCCCAGGGATTCCCTCAGCTTCAGGCTCCTTGGGCTCAAAGTTTCCCAGGATCCCTTTCCTGAGCACGGGGCTGTTGTAGGCGTGCGTCTGAGGTTTGTATGTGACATACTGCTGCTGGATGACCTGCTTCTGGTCCGGCTGCTGCTGCTGCTGCTGCTGGCCCTGAGGGTCGGCTCCTCCTGGAGGAAGCAGACAGAAATCAAAGGATCAGGCTGAGAAGCAACATCTGGATCGATCATTAAACATTGACCTCCCTCCTCTCTTTAATAAATCCTGGTTATTTCTAAAGCTGTGGTTTGTTTATCCTTTTTATTGGTCTCACCATCCTATTTATACTTTAACCAGAGAGAACATCTATAGTTCCCACTCCTACATCGGCGCTAAGCTTTCTGGGTAATTAATAACTGAATCATCATTGATTAACAGGGATGTTTGGCTCTAAGTTGTATCAGTGAATGTTGTCTGGTCTGCTGGCCTGAATCCAAGCCGGATGTCATTCCTGTGGTTATTGCTCCCTCCCATTACTGCTATAACAGTACTGAGCAAACCCAATCTGCCTGGTCTGATTAAAGAATTACAGGACAACCTAAACTCAACCAACCCAGCCCATAAAAATCACAATCTCACTGTAAATGTCCAAAGTCACATTATTTGACATTTTGATTTAAGCACCAGTATCTCACTCTGGGTGCAAACCATAATTTAATGACGATTGACGGCGTAATGCTGGTGTAGAATTTGTTATTTTTTTGCTTTGAAGCTTTGTCTTTTTTCAGTTTTTTTGTAAATAAAGTCTTTCTGTGTCTATTTTCCATAACAACAACATGCGACCAGGATTACATCTCTGCACATGCATACGAATCTGTCAACAAGCTGAAGAACAACTCTACAACCTCAACTGAAGGCAGCTCCTTTGTTTCCTTCCTTTCATTACTGGATGAACTGATGAATACTGATACTGTCCGGCTATTGTCGTCATGGTTACCAAGGTCAGACCGACAATAAGAACCCCATTAGTACGAACGCTTGGAGAATATTACCCTATTTAATCAGGATAAAATGGGTTTTGGTGCCTTTGGTAAAGGCATATAACTTTGGATTAAACCTGATCTTAGAGACTAATTACTGTAGAATCAAGAGAATAAGAACATAGAACCTGTCTGACAACATGAAGTAGGATAAAAGAGCTCAGAAGCAACATATTAATCAAAGGAATAAAGGAAAAACAGTTACTGAAATCTGTCTAAATGTGACAAAGCTTTCAGCCAACTGAGATTAATCTAGAGGCAAAGCAGCAGGAGAGGTGCTGCAGTCAGAACTAGCTTTAGTTAAGCTCAGTCTTCATTCAGGTTCCTGTATTAATGGAGAACAAACATCCAGACATCAGCTCATCAGGCACACATGCAGCCGCACCACAGGCCGACCTCTATATGGCTCAGAGAGGAGAAGGTTTTGGAGTGGCCTAGTTAAAGTCTGGAACTAAACGGGAGTTTATGGATGTGTGGAGTCTCACCATGCTTCAGTCTGATAGAGTTCAGGTCAACCTCCACCCCCTCCACCCGGGGCCAGGGGACCACAGGCTTGAACTGATCCGCCAAGTCCTCTTTGGGGAGGAAACTGTCCCCCTGCTTAGAACGAAACACAACATGGAAAGATGATAAATACAAACAGCCTGGATGAAAACATTTAAACCACGGCCTCGGTTTAGTCTGATCTCTGAGGAAGTGAAAAAGATACAACTTAGGGGCCAGAAGTGGCCCTGAGATAATCAGCAATGGGCCCTAAATCCCCTTAAATGGCATAATGAACAGGCATTCAATAAAATATGACATTTTAAGCACGGTGATGGCAGCATCATGCTTTGGGGATGCTGTTGTTCATGAGGGAAAAAAATTTGGAGCTCAAGCCAATGTGGAGGGAGACACAGGGCTGATACCTGGTTTTAGACCCACATCTGAACCAAAACTGAAAACAAAACGTTGTTTTTTCTCTAGAGAACCAGTTTAGTCTGGTTTGGATATTTTGTTCTCTAAACACACCTTTTTAAAAGCAGGTGCTTCCTAGGCACTCCTTCACAGACAGCTGTGTAGAAGGGTGTGCCTCAAAGGGCTCCTTCTACAAATAACCAGCAGGACTGATGTCAAACAATGATTTCCATGTGAAAAGTGGACGCTGAACAGAAAAGTAAGTTAAGGAAGGTGATGGAAATGTTTTCCCCGGTGTGGATCTGGTTTGGTGAGTGGGTGCGACAAAAATGAAGGAATCTAAAGAGCAGAGCACCAAACGCTCCGTCACCGTCCCTCTGATGGATAATTACAGTTCAAAGCTGAGCCACAGCCTCTCCAAACAAGCCTGACTGATTCAGCCCCCTTCCAGGACTCTTCTGTCTCCACCCTAAACAGGAGCTGGGGCCCAGATGGGCGGAGATGATCTCCTTCATTTATTGATTCTTTCAATAATCGTCAACTAATTTAGTAATCGATTAATCATTAACTGGAGTATAGAGACTCTAAAACCTGCCTTTAGTGACAGAGCGACCCACTTAGAGCAGGAATTATACCAAAACTGTAAACAAATATATAAACATTTTGCATTTAAGATACGGTAAAAAAAAAAAAAAAGTTTAAGTTTGTCAGTCTGCTCTATCTAGAACTCAAGAGTTTTAGTTTCTTGTTCAGGAACCTTTGGCTATCTGATTATGAAATGATTAATAAAAAAAAATTAGCGACAGATTAATCGTTTTGTAAAATAATCGTTAGTTGCAGCCCTACTGTGGATATTCATTGATTGTTGGGAGGCAGAAGTTGGTTCTGTCTCCTTTGGTTTCTGATCCATTTTGTCTGTGAAACCTCCAATCGTCACCTGAATTAAACTGTTTGGTCTATTAAGCATAAAGGCTGCAGATTACCAAGAAAACACCAAAGTCCTTCCAGCTGAGTGGTCATATTACTGCACAGCAGTCTAGCACAAAAACTACATTAGATTAACAGATATTCCATCCAATCTGATCTATAAAATATTTCCAACTAAAGAAATATAATTGATCAGCTCACCAGGAAGAAATTAGGACTAAATATGGGATGAGTTTTCTTCTTATTTAAACATAATCCGTGGTTAATTCATAAATAAAAGGTCAAAGAATCATGGACAATTTTATATTTATTTTAAGAACAATTTAGTATAGCTTGCCACATTAGAGTTCAGTACATCTAATTATTCTCTATTTATGTGTGATATTTATTTTCCTCCTTATATGGAGGTTTAATCCGATAATCTGTCTAACTCAGCACTGCAGCAATGATCTAATGTTTTAAAACATTTCCAGGATTANGCGTATCCAGCTCACCACCAGGTGGTGGTCGGTGGACAGCTCCGCCCCTCTCTTCACCCGAGTGTCCAAGACATGCGGCCGAAGATCAGAAGATACGACTACAAAGTCGATCATCGACCTTCGGCCTAGGGTGTCCTGGTGCCAGGTGCACCGATGGACATCCTTCTGATGGATAATTACAGTTCAAAGCTGAACCACAGCCTCTCCAAACAAGCCTAACTTCTTCAGCCCCCTTCCAGGACTCTTCTGTCTCCACCCTAAACAGGAGCTGGGGCCCAGATGGGCGGAGATGTTCTCCTTTTGGATTAGGGCTGAAACTATTAATCAGAAGAATCGATTATTTAAGTAATTGTCAACTAATTTAGTAATCGATTAATCATTAACTGGAGTATAGAGACTCTTAAACCTGCCTTTAGTGACAGAGCGACCCATTTAGAGCAGGAATTATACCAAAACTGTAAACAAATATATAAACATTTTGCATTTAAGATAAAAAAAAAAATAAGTTTAAGTTTGTCAATCTGCTCTATCTAGAACTCAAGAGTTTTAATTCTTGTTCAGGAACATTTGGCTATCTGATTATGAAATGATTAATAAAAACAAATAATTGACAGATTAATATTTTTTTTTTTAAATAATCGTTAGTTGCAGCCCTACTGTGGATATTCATTGATTGTTGGGAGGCAGAAGTTGGTTCTGTCTCCTTCTGGATCCTGGTTTCTGATCCATTTTGTCTGTGAAACCTCCAATTGTCACCGAATTAAACTGTTTGGTCTATTAAGCATAAAGGCTGCAGATTACCAAGAAAACACCAAAATCCTTCCAGCTGAGTGGTCATATTACTGCACAGCAGTCTAGCACAAAAACTACATTAGATTAACAGATATTCCTTCCAATCTGATCTATAAAACATTTCCAACTATAGAAATATAATTGATCAGCTCACCAGGAAGAAATTAGGACTAAATATGGGGAGTTTTTCTTCTTATTTAATCATAATCCTTGGTTAATTCATAATAATCTTGTTTAATTTTGTTTTGTTTCCTCACTGCCCCCTTCTATAATAAAAGGTCAAAGAATCATGGATAAATTTATATTTATTTAAAAAAAAACAATTTAGTATAGTTTGCTACAGTTTGTTATCGGAGTTCAGTACATCTAATTATCCTCTATTTATGTGTCATATTTATTTTCCTCCTTATATTGAGGTTTATTTCGATAATCTGTCTAACTGAGCACTGCAGCAATAATCTAATGTTTTAAAACATTTCCAGGACTAATTTATTTTCCAAACCAAAGCTGTCAGCTCTAAAGGCCAGCTCACTTCCGCCTGCTGACATGTCCGGATGTGGATCCTGGATTATGGGGATGGATGCTCCTGGAGATCCTACCTGTGATTCCCTCCATCAGGGAGCAACAAATGGACCCCAGCAACAGTGGGAATGCTAATTCAGTCCAGAAAACAACCAGAAACAAGCATCCGGTTTTTCCTGAATCCCTGGTGGTTCAGCTTCTTACCCTTTTAGCGAACGGGTTGTCATCGTTGGGCTTCGGAGACAGAGATGACCAGAGTATCACCAAACCCAGGAAGGTCCCAATGAGCAGTAAACTCCGCAGGAGGAATCCCACCTTTAGCCTCATGCTGGAAGCTTCCTTCTTCTAAAGCTAAGCTAAGCTAAGCTAGCTGCTGCTGGTCCGCGCGCTCTGACTGACTAACCGGTAACCAGCTGCTCTCTTCCTGCTGCTGTAAAGTAAAATAAATATTAGCTCAAAGGGAAAGCCTCCCTCCGCTACTGGTCGGTATAAACAGCAGGGACTGGTTGTGGTGTTCTGGTCTGTCCTGGTGCTCACCCTCACTGTTCCGGTGTAACAACTCTGCCCTCCTCTATGGTTCCTGTTCCTGCCTGATGGAAGGAGGAGGAACAAGGCCAGCAGCACTACAACCACTGCTGGGATGGGAATATCTCTGTCAGGCTGCGGCAGTTCAGGGCCATATTTACCACAGACAGGGGCCACTGGTTCCTCATGGGGACACAATGAAGATCAACACTCAAAAACAGAGCAATAAAGCTTCATTTATTATATTTATTATTAGCCACACAGCCAAGGTTGCAGAGCCCTGATCTATCAGATGAACACTATGATCCTGTCTGTATGCAGCTGACTTAAAGTCGGGGGGAGATTTACCATTAGGCAATACTAGGCAGTGATAATGTTTATTAATTAATTCCCAGACTCTACCAAAGCCTGATTCATCAGTGAGGTCCTGAGGTTGTGAGTTCAATCCCCACTCCCACAGGCTGCCACTATGGGTCTCTGAGCAAAGATCCTTAACCCCACACTGCTCCCCGGGCGCCGCACAATGGCAGCCCACTGCTCCCTAAGGGGATGAGTTAAATGCAGAGGGCTCATTTCATTCCTCTAATACTTGTGACTGTAATGACAATAAAAGCTAGGAAAAAAAGATGAACAGAACATAGCCCATTCTAGATTATACCACCACTAGATGTCGCTGTTATTCTGCAGATTAACCAAACTATGTTGAACATGATTAGCAGTGGTAGGTAGGGTAAAACAACACATTACAACGAAGAACACATTATAGTTTGTAGCTTTCTGTAAATAGCTCTACATTTCCAGCTACAGTCCATGCTTTTCAGTATTCTTTGTTTAATGGAAAACTTTCTATTGTGATTTCAAATAAAAACCTTCACCAAAGCTGGGTTAGAAAACCAGCAACACAGAGGGGCATCTTTAGGTCACCCTGGAAACATCTACAGCTCAGCTAGAGGTTTGTGAGTGATGACAGGGAGGAACATTTTCTGTCCTACCATCACAAATGGTATTGTGCTTTGGTCCTGGAGGCTCTGAGTTGAAGTCCCACACACTCCCATGGACTACCACTCTGGCTCCCTGAGCAAGACCCTTAAAGGGGTCATAGAATGATTCTATGGGTTATTTGGTGCTGGTCCTTAAGAAGGACGTATTCACCGTTTTACCGACAGGCTGTTTGTTTACACCACCCCACCAGCTTTCTGTCACGCTTCCTACGTCACAGTCAGTTGCGGTCATTGGTCAGAGCATTGGCCAATAGGCACAGACATGGTTTGAAAAAAAAAGGGTTTTTTCTCATCAACAATCTTCCGCTGTCTCATTCATCGGGGCCAGACTAAGTTACACATTTAATCTCACATTTGGTCTGGTTTATCAGGCTACTAATGCAAGCCTGGTTAAAAGCCCTAGAATGAAACAACAGGTTTTCTTCCTTTTATGGTATGCTCATGAATATTTAGATGAGCTATGCGCTGATTGGTTGGTTTATAACGACCGAAGCTGCTAAGCAAAGACGCATCATAGCAACAAGCACTTTGTTGATATGGTGGGGTGACCAGATGTTTTTCATGTCCTAATTTTCATACCTAAAAGAATATCCGCCATGCCATGCATGACTACATCTCGGAGGCACCTAAGGCAGGCTTAAATCGCTTCTCTTCCTCTCCTACAGGTGCAGTGCTTTTTGTGGGGAAGAAGAACGGATCTCTCCGCCCCTGCATCTCTCCGCCCCTGCATTGACAACAGGGGGCTTAATGACATCACAGTGAGGAATCGTTATCCTATTTCCCTTATGAACACAGCCTTCAACCACATTCAGGGGGCTAAGGTGTTCACTAAGCTTGATCTTCACAATGCCTACCACTTGGTCCGTAGTAAGGAAGGCGACAAGTGGAAGACCGCCTTCAACACACCAACGGGGCATTATGAGTACCTGGTCATGCCTTTTGGCCTCACCAACGCTCTGGCTGTGTTCCAGAATCTGGTTATTGAGATTCTCCGAGACATGATAGGACGATATCCTAGTTTACTCAGAGAACCTCATCGTTCACAGACAACATGTCCGCTCCATTTTGCTCNCTATTCTATTAACATTTCTCTATCTGTATAATGGGGCTGTTTTATGTGTTGTCTTCTCAGTTCAGAGGGCCCCCTGCCTGTCTTTGCCTAGGGCCCCACATTTCTCCTCTCTGAGTTGACCTTAGCTCAAAGGGAAAATAAATTACACAGTGAAACACGGTTATAAAATAATCATGTTTCAAAAACAATGAAAATATAACGCTACACTGAGCCATTTTTTTTTAGTTATGAGGAGACATCTAAGGACAAGAAGTGATGAACTGATGTGACTCTGATCTATGAAGGTGTAGGGAGTGGATTTAAGGAAAAAACATCCAGATTTTCAAAAATTTTAAACTTCAAGAATAGAAAATTTGACTAATCTCCCTGCCCTATTATTTTGTTTTCAAAATAGGACCAGTTCTACAGGAACACTGGCCCCTGTGTAGAACCAGCTGAGGGGCTGAAGGTTGTACATAAGAAAACAGACATTTATGCCCACTGTTCACTAGAATCTTAATTTATTTGTCCAAAGGCCTATGAGGACGTTTTAAATCTGGTCTACATCATAAACTAAAGTAGTCAGAAATGTCATGGTTTAATTTTTGAATGGGAGTCTCTGTCAGATAGATTATAAAATTTTCAATTGAAACACTTGAGATAAACATCTTTTCAGCCACATATGTTGATAATGTTTATTAATTAATTCCCAGACTCTACCAAAGCCTGTTTCATCAGTGAGGTCCTGAGCTTGTGAGTTCAATCCCGCCTCCCACAGGCTGCCACTATGGGTCTCTGAGCAAAGATCTTTAACCCCCACACTGCTCCCCGGGCGCCGCACAATGGCAGCCCACTGCTCCCCAAGGGGATGAGTTAAATGCAGAGGACTCATTTCGTTGCTCTAATACTTGTGAGTGTAATGACAATAAACACTGGGGAAAAAAAGATGAACAGAACAGAATATAGCCCATTATAGATTATACCACCACTAGATGTCGCTGTTATTCTGCAGACTTACCAAACTATTTTCAATATGATTAGCAGAGGTAGGTAGAGTAAAACAACACATTACAACTAAGAACACATTATAGTTTGTAGCTTTCTGTAAATAGCTCTACATTTCCACCTACAGTCCATACTTTTCAGTATATTTTGTTTAATGGAAAACTGTCTATTGTGATTTCAAATAAAAACCTTCACCAAAGCTGGGTTAGAAAACCAGCAACACAGAGGGGCACCTTTAGGTCACCCTGAAAACATCTACAGCTCAGCTAGAGGTTTGGGAGTGATGACAAGGAGGAAAATTTTCTGTCCTACCATCACAAATAGTATTGTGCTTTGGTCCTGGAGGCTCTGAGTTGAATACCCACACACTCCCATGGACTACCAATCTGGCTCCCTGAGCAAGACCCTTAATGGGGTCATAGAATGATTCTATGGGTTATTTGGTGCTGATCCTTAAGAAGGACATATTCGCCGTTTTACCAACAGGCGTTTGCTTACACCATCCCACCAGCTTTCTGTCGCACTTACTACGTCACAGTCAGTTGCACTCATTGGTCAGAGCGTTGGCCAATAGGCACAGACATGGTTTGAAAAAAAACAGGTTTTTCTCATCAACAATCTTCATTGGGGCCAGACTAAATTACACATTTAATCTCACATTTGGTCTGGTTTATCAGGCTACTAATGCAAGCCTGGTTAAAAGCCCTAGAATGAAACAACAGGTTTTCTTCCTTTTATGGTATGCTCATGAATATAGCGCTGATTGGTTGGTTTATAATGAGCGAAGCTGCTGAGCAAAAACACATCATAGCAACAAGCACTTTGTTGATATGGTAGGGTGACTAGATGTTTTTCATGTCCTAATTTTAATACCTAAAAAATGTCTGCCATGCCATACATGACTACATCTCGGAGGCACTTAAGGCAGGCTTAAATCGCTCCTCTTCCTCTCCTGCAGGTGCAGTGCTTTTTGTGGGGAAGAAGAACGGCTCTCTCCGCCCCTACATTGACTACAGGGGGCTTAATGACATCACAGTGAGGAATTGTTATCCTATTCCCCTTATGAACACAGCCTTCGACCACATTCAGGGGGCTAAGGTGTTCACTAAGCTTAAGCTTCGCAATGCCTACCACTTGGTCCGTAGTAAGGAGGGTGACGAGTGGAAGACTGCCTTCAACAAACCAACGGGGCATTTAGTACTTGGTCATGCCTTTTGGCCTCACCAACGCTCTGGCTGTGTTCCAGAATCTGGTTAATGAGGTTCTCCGAGACATAATAGGACGCTATGTGTTCGCCTACCTGGACGACATCCTAGTTTACTCAGAGAACCTCATCATTCACAGACAACATGTCCACTCCATTTTGCTCCCGCTTCTTCAGAACCAGCTTTATGTTAAGGCAGAGAAGTGTGAATTTCATGTCACATCCACTTCTTCCCTTGGCTTCATATTGTCTCCGGGTCAGATGTCTATGGACCCAGCCAAGGTTGATGCTGTTATTGATTGGCCTGTTCCTGCCCACAGAAAGCAGCTTCAGAGTTTTCTGGGGTTTGCTCATTTTTACCGCCAGT